GCCATCACAGAATGGGAATAAGTACCTTGCCCAGCAGCCTTAGGGGCAAGAGCCCCATGTTGCCCTAGGATTTCCTTACCGGGCATGAAGACCCTGAGGGGATTTAATGGCAGCTTTCAACTACCTGAAGGGTAGTTCCAAAGAGGATGGATCTAGACTAGGGTTACCATATTTCCAGTTTCAAAAAAGAGGACACATGCGTATTTGGGTGGGGAGGAGGGGAAAAGGAATATGACTGTGGGGGGAGCAATAATATGCCCTTGCCCTGGCCCTGCCACTCACTCCTAAGGGACAGCACTCCCCCCCCCCCGCCAGCCCTGCTGCTGCCCCTCACTCCCAATCCACAGTACCCTGCCTCCTAGGCCATGCTGATGCCCCTCACTCCCGACCAGCAGCCTCCTGGCACTGCCTATGCTCCATGCTTCTGACCCACAGGCCCTGCCCCTCCAGGTGCCCCTCACTCCCAAACCACAGCTCCCCCAACCCTGTCAGTGCCCTCACTCCTGACCCACAGCCCCCTGCCCCCAGCCCTGCAGTGTCTCCCAGCTGCACTGCCCCTGCAAGCATGGGCACGAGCCCTAGTGCCACTGGCCCAGCCATGCAGCTCCCCGCTGCCCCCAAAGGGTCTCCCTTCTCCTCTTCCCCCACTGGAGGGGCAGGTGCTTCCCTCGCCTACCCTGCCCTGCTGCAACCACAGCACCCGGACAGCTTCCCCCAGCACTGGCGGGCACCCGCCCCCCCTTTCACGCTCATCCTTTCCACACATCTCTGCCACACACACACATACCCTAGCCAGTTCCCAAGCCCTAGCCCTCCGACACTGCTCCCCATAAGCTTACCTGCATACAGCTGCTGGGGTTGCTCCCACTTCCCTGCCTGGCTGTATGCTGGCCGTGTGCATGTGCGTGCACAGACAAATGTGATCAGTAATGCCAACTGTTGCAGAAAAAAAAAAAATTACAAGACTTGCGATTTCCAAGTCAAATTAACTCTGACTCACGATCTTGGGACAGAACCTTAAGTCTTGGGATTTTTTCTTCTGGTCCAGGTAGAGAGAGAGCCTAGGTGAGCCTGTGGAGGGGAACGATGAGCTGGTAAGCCAGGGGGGGGGGATATGGGGGAAACAGATAAGAGTCCCTCCACGGGGAGGGAGGGAGGGAGTGGGGCAGGGTCTGGGGTAAATAGGGCCCTGGGGTCAGTCATGCAACAGAGCCACAGGTAGCTTGTCAAGAGGCATGGGGGAGGTGCAGCTTCCTGCCACTGCACACACTCCCAGGGGAGGATATGTGGCCTCTGGGTTTGTGTGTGGGGCAGAGGCAGTCTGCCCACTGAGGGCTGGGGATCACTGTGTTCTGCTGCTTTTTCCCAGGAGTTATGCAACAACAGTATGCATCCTGACACATGCTGGGCAGGTAGGGGACACACAGTGCAGCTCTCAGGGCAAGGTGGGGGGAGGCAGCAGAAGGGGCTTCCTAGATCCCTACTTCTGTATTCCCAGGGGGCTTGATGTTCTGGGGACTGCCTGAAGTCTCTGCCTCAGGCTGCAGCTTTAAGATTTTTGCTAGAAAACCACCTAATTAATTTCAGTTCACCCCACATGGTGGGGTAGGTGGGTGCACCCTTAATGATAAACACCTGTTAATTGCTAGGTCAGGCAAAATGGAACCACAACGGGCACTTAAGGCTGCAGAATGGCTGTTAATCCCATGCTTGGTCAATGTAAATTGCCCCATTAACTCTGATAAACTGTTCCTCAGCCCTGCACCCTCCTTTATCTGCTCTGGTTAGATTGTTTTTAACACTATAGATTCCTATTTTAAACAACTGGTTTTATGTTCTGAATTGTGTTTGAACACCTAACAATGCTAACATTGAATGGCATCTCATGGAAAGGGTTTCAAGGACTGCCATGCTGGCTTTTACTACTCAGACCTGATAAAGGATGTCCTGCATTTGAAAGCTTGTCTAACTCTACCCCAACTATGCAGTTGGTCCAATGAAAGACATCACCTTAAGAAATCCTGGCCTCTCACTTAATTCCTGGACATCATGGCGACAACATCATTCCAGTACAGGTTTCCCTCACTTTATGCAGGTTTTGTATGTGCAAATTTTCTCTTATGCAATGACCCTTTTTATACCAAAAATGAGTTATATGTGAGGTAAATTCACTTTTATGCAATCGGTGTGGTAGAGGCCTGTAGTCAGCTGCTTTGTATGGTGCATTGTGGGAGTGATGTGCACCAAAATATAGTCTGCTGTGTGGATCCGTGCTCCTCGCTTGTTGTCCGTGACACATCACGTGTAGTTGCCATCCCCATTATGGTAATATTCACCCCCGCCCCCGGTGCTTGTGCGCACTGTCTGCTGTTGGCAAGTACCAAAATTGCCTAATAAAAATGGGTCTGGGGGCCAGTACAGTCAAGGTCTTGGAACATATCTTTGTTGCATTGTAAAGTGGGTTCTTTATGCAAATTCGAGTTAATGCGCCCTTTTCCAGGAATGCACATACAGCATGAAGTGAGGGAAACCTGTACTACAGAAGAATGTCAAGGCACCCCGGGGTGCTGCAACATCCTGGTTGAGAACTGCCAATCTCAGGTGTTAGACATAGAATTTCAGAACTAGGTGCATCCCTAGCAAATTCCTCCAAGTTTAGTCTTGCACTCCTGCAAACCACGAGGTATATGTCTGCTGCCCTTGTGTGGCTTGTTTCATCTGTCAAGGGCTTCTTCTCCCTCTGCCCCACTATCCACCCACCTCACTCTTCTTCCTTAAATGAATACCTGAGGGTAGACCACAAACTGGCTGTGCCCTGGGACTAATGTTTGCCTCCTCTTCACATTACAGGTACCGCACAGTTACCTGGTTAATTGTGCAATTACCTGCATACCAGTAACACATGCCAGGTAGCTATCACACCGTAAAAAGCTCCGGTCAACTATGAAGGTAGACCATGAAAATGCACAAACTTTATAGCTAGTTGCTACCCAGCTTTCACCTGCATGTGCAGCAGGGTCTCTCCCCTCCCCTGTGGCGGAGGAGCACTGAAAGGATGGGGCCACGGGGCTGCACCAGGCCCAGCTGGGGCTGCGGGTCTCACAAGGCAGGGGCCTCCCAGCTCCAGCAGCTGCCCACGCTGGGTCCTGGCAGCACGCGGGGGCGGCACATGAAAGCCCATGGCCTGGACGAGACCAGTCCTGTCCTTGCGGCGCGGGGCGGCCCACTGCGCCTGTGCCACAACAATCCCCCGCGCGGGCCCCGGCGTCACCACGGAGACCCGCCCCGCCCACGGCGCCGGCGGCGGAGGGAC